CGGACGGGACGACTGGAAGCACTGGTCTTTTCGCAAAGCTCTTCTATGGCGCGAGTGTGGTCCGACGGCCGCCCCGTCTGGGGCGGTCCAGTCCGTCCGAAGACGAGACATTTCAGTCCCTTGGCGTCCTCACCCCGTCTGGGACGGACCGGACTGGAAGCACTGCACAGGTGCGCACTCGTGTACGAGTAGACTATCCCCGTACTCGAGTACAGTAGCCTGTCGAGACATTCAGTCCTGTTTAAAATCTGGAACCCTAACCGATTTTGGCAATCGGGAGGGAGTCTGAACACTCACTTGTTTCTATCGCCATGCTCAGGCATACACATTTCGCAGAGTTCTGAGCACTACACCATGCTACGGTAGGTTCCCTAATTTTTTCCTGTCACAGTTACCAAAACCGGTTTGGGTTCCGGATTTTAAATAGGACTGAATTTCTCCACAGGCTATGGGATACGCGAGTAGCCTCGTTTGCTTCCTGATGCATTGTAATGGCCTAGGGAGATTTGGAAAAATAGGACGGAAATAGGAAGGCACGGGGGTGATTAGCATCGGTACTGGGGATGTTAAAGGACTACGGTCGTGTGCAGCAGGGGATCCGCCCGAGGAGAAGCGGCCCCGCCGACTTGGCTCCCTAAATCTAAATTGTTTCAATTGCGCAGGACTACGCGAGTACTCGAGTACAGTACTCGAGTATGTGGTTACGAGTATCACAGTTAAATCGTTGCTTTGGGGGGTGTATTTCATTGGTTTAGGGTTGTTGTTTTTTTTTTGGCCACGCTCCAGTCATTAAATATTTTCGGCACTAAACTACCCGGGCGCATGTTACAGAGTATGATTGTCTCCCTAGTTACTGTAGCTGTTATTGTACTCGAGTACAAATAAAATCGGGGATTTAACGGGGAAAAAAACTAAACTCGTATTGTCTCTTTTTTTTCGCTCCGTGCGCCAAATTAGTGCCCCGATCAATTTTAAGGTATTATGATAAGATTGTGTGCATGTTGCGCTTCGGGTTTGGCACCCTTTAACAAGGGGAGACACAGAAATAATCTAGGATCCCTTCACTTGACAGGCCTAGCAACTTTACCGGTACCCGTATTCAATTGATAGGTTCTGATTTTATATTCTCAGAAACTCCAGCTACTCGAGTAATAGAGTGTTCCAAAAATGAACGGGGAACTGCGGGATGCGGAAGAACCCTCCGCGATCGCGTGAAGGCTGTTGTCGTGTCACACCTTCCCTGCACCAATCACGGGTCAACACGCGAGTTGAGCCCCAAGCTGCAATCAGTCACGGGCACGCTACACTGCCCAAACCTAGAGAGAGCTAGATAGTGCGGTGTGAGGCACAGTACTATCACCTACCCCCCCACGCCTTTCCCCGCTCCGGGAGGGGGAAGACTTCTGGTTTCTGAAGAAGCAATCCGTACCATCACCACTTCCCCAGGCCGCGGTCGTCCTAACGCCCAGGCAGTACCCTTGTGCCAAACACTCGGCTCATACTATTTTTTTCGTGGCCTTGCGAAACGATTTTTCAACTACCTTGAGAGGCGACGAATAGGCAACGGTTCTCATTGCTGTTACGCTAGCGACATCATATTACTTTCATACCCGACCTTCGAAAAGGCCACGAAATTGAGCAAAGACATGGATCCGTGGGTCCCTGCCTTTGACTCCTGTGATTTGAAAAATAATGAGTACTCATCTAATAGTGTTCACAGTAGAATCCCAGCCAATACCTCGGATAATTTCTCGAGAAATTCAGGGGATGGTAATGCCTACAATAGTCATCGCAATAATAACACAAATCTGGGTTACCAGAACAGTGCTGCCAATTACGGAACAATAATACATGTACAAGGATGTGTGATTAAGGGTGGGGACCGAGGTAACCTAACGTTCCGGACTGCTTCCCGGCAAAGAGCTAACGTGCTATCGCGATTGTAACCAGAAAAAGCATCTAGGCCTTATTGGACAGTTCCTTATAGCAGGAATAACAGGTTCACCGGCCGTCAGAATCTTATTGAGTCGGTAAAGAGTCTTGCTGGCTGTGATGGTCACAGCCGAATCGCGCTTCATGGATTGGGTGGTTCTGGGTAGGCGCTCATTATTCATTATACAAAGGGTTTACTAATATTCTGCAGAAAAACCCAGATTGCCCTCGAATACATTTACCAGCGCAAGAGCGAGAGCAATTGTCACGTTTTCTGGGTGCCAGGAAGTGGGATGGTAAAGTTTAGTGAGGGCTTCCGGGCTATTGCGCAATGTATTGGGGTTCCTCCAGCTAGCGCAAAGACAGACGAGGAAGGATTCCTATTGAGTGTGAAGAGGTGGTTCGAAAGCCCCGAGAGCGGTGATTGGATTCTGGTTGTTGACAACGCCGACAATGAGGAGGACTTTGCTAGCAATAATGCTCCGATCGCTAAGTTCGTACCGCAAGGCCCTAGAGGTACCCTGCTATTCACGACTAGATCTCGCCAGGTTGTGATCAGACAGGGGTGCGAAAGGATCGATGTTGGAAGAATGCACGATGATGAGGCCAAGGCATTGTTTATCCAACACTTTGGTAGCTGGGGCAATTTGGGAGATGGGGAAGAGGAGGATGTTGAGATGATCCTTGCCTCGGTGGGGCACTTGCCGCTCGGTGTTGTAGGCTCAGCATCTTTCATGGCAGAGACCGGAACACAACCCTCAGAGTACTGGACCATGTTACAGGAGAACGATAAGCGAATGAAGGAGCTACTTTTGGAGCGATTTAGTGATATCCGGCGTGAGGCAGGTCTGGGAGAAAGTATTTTGGGCACGTACTTCATCACCTTTGACCGGATTACAAAACAGATGCCAACAGCAGGACATCTCCTGCGCCTAATCGCATTTTTTGATCGTCAAAATATACCCCAGCAGCTTTTAAGAGAATCCGGCGTTGAGGGGATGGATGACTCGGCTAAATTTGTTCGAGCGATAGGAAAACTATCCGGATTCTCATTGGTTACCGCCGTCCCGCGTGAGGGGAAGGTATTCTATGAGCTTCATCACTTAATCCAACTATCCATAAAAGCGTATCTATCATCAGAAGAGTTGGATAAATGGTATACAAGTGCTCTCAGAGTGATTTCCCGAATTTTCCCTAAATATGAGCACGAGCTGCGGGATATTTGCCGGGTATACCTTCCGCATGCGCTTGCAGTGACCAGTGATAGCACGGATGCTCTCGCTGAAGACCTGTGTTTTCGCATTGGAGAGTGTTTTCTCCATTTGGGTTCCTACAACAATGCCGCTGTACAAATCCGTCGGTGTATCAGACTTCGCGAGGAGAATAAAGACTCTGGCTGGGATAACGGTTATAGGAGATTTGTGCTCCTCGGACGGGTGACTGCACGCCAAGGAAAGACCGGAGAAGCGGAGAAGATACTTCGGCGGGCGCTGGAGGATCTCGAGAGGTCATTGGGTCCAAACAGCTCTGACGCCCTGGAGTGCTCGTCCTACCTGGCAAGTGTCATGAGTGATCTCGGAAAGTACCAAGAATCAGAGAAGATGAATCGGCGTGCACTGGAGGTGCGTGAGAAGGTTCTTGGACCTGACCACAAAGACACCCTAAAAAGTGCCATTAACCTAGCTCTGGCTTTGCAATACCAGGGAAGGTACGATGAATCAGAGACCATTAACCGGCGCGCACTGGAGCGGTGCGAGAAGGCCCTCGGGCCAAACCACCCGGACACTCTGACGAGTATCGATAGTCTGGCTACTTGACAACCAAGGCAAGTACGATGAATCAGAGGAGATGAATCGGCGTGCACTGGAAGCGCGTGACAGGGTCCTTGGACCGGACCACCCGGAGACCCTAGAAAGTGTCAACAACCTAGCCAATGTGCTGCAATACCAAGGAAAGTATGATGAATCAGAGACCATGCATCGACGCGCACTGGCCAGGGGCGAGAAGATTCTTGGACCAGAACACCCCAGTACTCTAACAAGTCTCAATAACCTGGCTAGTGTGCTCCAGTACCAAGGAAAGTATGTTGAATCAGAGACGATGCATAGACTTGCCCTCGAGGTACGCCGAAAGGCTCTTGGACCAGAACACCCAGAAACACTAGCCAGTGTCAACAACCTAGCCAATGTTCTGCAATACCAAGGAAAGTACGATGAATCAGAGGCGATGCACCGGCGTGTACTGGTGTGGGGGGAGAAGATTCTTGGGCCAGAACACCCCAACACGCTAGCTAGTATTAATAACCTGGCTAGTGTGCTTCAATACCAAGAGAAGTACGTTGAATCAGAGACGATGAACAGGCTTGCACTAGAGGTACGCGACAAGGTTCTCGGACCAAACCACCCTGAAACGCTAGCAAGTATCAACAATCTGGCCAGCGTGCTGCAGCACCAAGGAAAGTACAAGGAATCGGAGGCGATGCACCAACGGGTACTGGAGAGGAGCGAGAAAATTCTTGGACAAGACCACCCCAACACGCTAACAAGTTTCAACAACCTGGCCAGTGTTCTGAAATCCCAAGGAAAGTACCACGAATCGGAGGCAATGAATCGGCATGTCCTCGAGATGCGTGAGAAGATTCTTGGACCAGAACACCCGGACACCCTGGCTACTGTTCACAATCTGGCCGTTGTGTTGCAATGCCAAGGAAAGTATATGGAATCGGAGACGATGACTCGGCGTTCATTAGAAGGGCGCAAGAATGTTCTTGGATCTGACCACCCCCACACCCTCGCAAGCCTCGATACCTTGGCTACTGTGCTGCGATGCCGAGGCAAGTATGATAAATCAGACGCGACGAGACGGCATGCATGGCATGAACTGCTAGAGACCCCTGACCAGGCATAGCTACATCTCACAGGCCATGTTATACCATTCTATTCAGGCGGCCAGAGCCTCGGGCAGGGACTGTGGTCTCTCAAAGTCATTCTTTATACCTCATGTAGTTTGGTTAGACTAGAGGTGACTTGAGTGGGCAGGAATCCCCTACCGGCGTGAGGCCCCGGAAACCCAGCGGGCAGCGATGGGGGAATGCATGGAGCTAAGATTGGCGAACAAGAAGAGGTGGAGGTGAGCTCTTGAAGTCTTGTTTTCTATGACAAAAAGGCATGTTGGTGTATGGCGCGAGTGTTGTGCATTTTTGTTCTTTTTTCCGGTCTGTTTCTCCTGTATGTTTGTCTATTCCTCTATTTTCTATATGTTTCTCTATATATTTTCCATTGCAAATGATGTGTGTGCCTTCGTGCCCTCAGATCCTAGCAACCACTCTTTGACCCCGGATATTCATACGAAGTCACTCGCCTACTCTGCTTCGACCTCTCGGTTCCAAAGCACAACCCCAATTACTTACCAGCACCCCGTGCCCTACCTCCGGACAACTTTCCCGGCGACTGTCATAAAAGTCCTCGACTCCCCTCTAGCTCCGGGTTCGTGGGCCGCCAGTACGGCGATGCCCTGGGTCCGGACATTTATTCATATTGACATAAAATAAACGGAATAATGGTGTATGCATTACCAGTCACTCCTCGTAGATTCCTTCTGTGTGCGATATATCTCCCACTACTGGTCACGGGAGTCCGGGTTGAAAACCCCAATGATCCAGGTATTAGGGGAGATCGGAAGAGTAAGCCCATATACTCACCTGAACGGTTGCGCCTAACTAAACATCGGCGTAAAGAGAATAAATGGTTTTCAAGGGAGAATTGTGAGCTTGGCAATTGTATAATAATTTTTCCCTTGCTGGTAAATCTATCTACTGCAAAGTTTAGGGATAGGCGCGGGGTATGAAATTTCGCAGCGTCCCCAACAAAGCTCACTTCTTGGGGCCGGCCAGAAGCTTCATTTATTGTCTTTGTGTGCCCGGCCGACCACTGGGCCAAGTCAGCTCAAGATATTGTATCCCGTCGGAGGGTATCTGCAAATAGCTGAAGGTGTCAGTTGGTACTTGAAGATGAAATCTGCGGGCATCTCTGGGTATCTGGGGGAGGCTTCAGATATCTAGTACTAATGGACACAATATCTGCTAACCGTAGCGCATATCCCGAATCCTGCCAGCACCGCTAGGGGTCGATATAGCTCATAGAATTTGGGAAAGCTGGGCCTACGGAGCCCGGGTCTGTCTCATTTTGGCCTGGCCTTTTTGTACCGTCTCTTTCTGACTATCTGTGGGCTTGACTCGCCGCTTGCGTACGCTGACCATACGGCATACTACGGGCAACTTCGCGCCTGCACCTGGCGGCTGGGAAAGCGGGCTGAGGTGTGGAAGCTACGTTGGTGCACTCCTGAAGGTCGCAGGAAGGTATCACACTTGTTGAACGAAGTAATAGTTTTCGAACCCTTCGCCCCATATTTGCTCATCCCCTCGCGTAACAAGAAATTCTAACCCCAATGGCTAGAAATAACATGTAAAATGGCCATTCTGCTATACATCTTTCTCACAGTTGGCATTCACAGCCCGTATCAGGTGCGAATCAGTATAGCTCCCGGTTACTTATCTACATCCGGCTAGGTTACCTAAAGATATAGCAGCATCGCGCTTTTGGCCTCTTACGGAGAAGCAGAGACAATAAATCATCATCGACCTTTTCCTTCACTGCCGCATTATCTGGCAAGGACTGCCGGACACTTTTACGCAGAAGTAAGAAAAGCCGGAGCTATCACTGCGGTTGCGTCAAAATCAGAAACCTGAAAGGTTTGGTCCTGGCTAAAAGGAGTTCGGATATGACGTTTTATTGCGATTTCGAGACCAATCAAGGGTGGAAATATTCTTTGAACGCCCCAGCGCCCGCTTGTTCTCGTCACAAAATGCGGTTCATCCTCTGCCGTTTCTCGATTGTCGACATCCTAACTTTATACGGACAATTAACCTCGGTCCGTGGCAGCGATGTACCTTACGGACCTGGACGTGTTTTACGCTCCAGCGGTACTCCTATAATATCCTCTGCCTACTTCTTTCTATACGCCAACACCAAACTAGTCTGGTGACGGTATGATCCTCGGGCATATTGCTACCGATAATTTCCCTTCGGCTTGATCCTTCCACGCCTGTGACAACAATTTGGGCGAACCGCTCCTCCCTGGGCGATGGGAGCATTACAAGGTGAAATATTGAGGGCGGATCTCAAGCGCTCTGGAAGTCCGGCTATGTTCGGTGAAGAGCAAAAGAGACCTTTTTTCTTTGTTTACCTTTCCGTGTACATTAGTCCGCTTACCTCCACTCTCCATTCACTCCCATCAACACCGCCCATTACTGACTTGATTCTTGTCTCAGATTTTGGAGTTTCTTGTATCATACTGGATATGATGAAAGCAAAGGATAACCTTGCGGGGTTGAATAAAGCTATGATGATGTTTGGGGATGTTCCTCCTCCCTGTTTCTATTGTATACCGGAACAGGAGATCCCGCAACCGTAGTAATAGCCGTAGGTTGCTAGTCTGTTCGGGTTGAACCCCAAGACTGCGGCAACCCGGACATAATTTACCGCCACAAGCTACCCCCGCTCTTTTGTACAAAGAATATTATTTTGAGCCATATCTCCAAGTTAACCCATAGACTACCGCCCACAAACCTTGTTGTCGAAAAGCACTACCGGGGTTATGCCGAAGCCCGTGAAGTTCCTAGTTATCCGGCATGTCTAGATAAAGAGTGGAGATGATATCCATTAGCTGAGAACGTTATCAACGGGCTTGCAAGGCATTCTCTCAAAGCCCCGGAGGATCACACCTCACTCCCTTGGAATGAACTACAAAGCTGGAGGCACCATTAGAGAAGCAATGTTAGCTTGGGGGAGCAGGCGGATGAGATGGGGACAGGCAATTCATGAGTCAAACACTTTTGTAAATCGTGATCGAGAGTTGTCACTTCTGTGCACCGGAAGCTTTTTGCCCTTTAACTGGGGTTGTAACTCAATTCTGACTCCCCAATCACCTTCTTTTCTGTGCTTGCTTTCCTTACTCTTCCAGCCCACAGAAATCCCGACTTTATGTACACTTATAGGATGTCCCCTTACTTCCTGACCATTCTCGGCATCGTTGTCATACCCCACGTTCTCCCTCTACCCCTCTTTCTGTAGCCAATCACCATCCATGCTTCCCCCTCGTGGCTTCTATTCCTGTTGTTAGTATGACATAGGACACGGTGCTATGACTTCTTGATAGGAAAGGAAGAGTTGTGAGACGATCGGGACAGAGTGAGAGAAGAAGGATATGCCGAAATAAAGGGTATGAGATGTATACAGTAGATCGGGCCGAATGAGTTGAATTGGGGTGAAGGACTGCTTTATGGGATCCGAAGTACTTGTATATAAAGGTAGATAACTACCTGGTGTCTGGCGGTGGATGGGCTATGGGTGCGACGAACAATATTATCTCTTTGCCTATCGAGGACCTCTACTCTGTTGAATTTCCTAAATTCGTTTCATATGTATATTCTCCTTGATAATATCGTATATTTCTCTACTTGGTATTATTATGAACATTACTACAGCTGGAGTATGTATTACGAATATTTCATCAATATTTCATGATACGATTAGGGGATTATGGCGTGCTTTTCTTATCTGGTGTTCAGGTTGATTTGTTTCACTCATCCGTTCACACCATCTTAGATTTAAGCATGTTTTATGGAATTTCCTTGGCAGTTCTTCAGGGTCAAACGTGTTCGCACTTATGTTTTTCCTACTTACATTATGGTCAAACACGTCGATACTTTGTTTTCCCTTATATTTTCTCTTAAGTTACTTGAAGGATGCACACCTGTATAAATAGGCGCTACCATCCATCTCATTTAAAGAGATTAAGGACAAGAACTACTACCAATCTACCTTCATACCAAACTCCTCCGCACTTAACGTGCCCGTGGTATACCCTTTCTACTACGTCGTATGTTCGTACAAAGTTATTAAGATAGTACCGTACCCTACACATTCAAACATACTCCTCTCCCTTTTCCAACAATTCCCTTCTCCTGCCAATCAATCTAAAATACATTCGTACAAAATAACTTCCCGAACATTCCATCATCCTCATCAACTCTCTACTGAGCTTTACAAATCCTTAAACACCTCCGGAAGAGTCTCCGGTTCGTTCAACGGACCTAGAGGGGCAAGGTAGTTACTTGGAGTACCGGTGATTTACAGTAACACTTTGGTCACTCTCGCACTAGGGCAAAGGATATGGAAAGCTTCAAGGGGTTCGTATTGAAAATATAATAGCGCATAGAATGAATGTGTAATGAGTGACAAGTTCCTAGCAGGAATATAGAAGTACGACAGTGGTGCAATAACAGTGGCGCAATAATGCCAGGTACGAGTGAGCGCTGTTCGTACATATAGTTCGCCAACTAGCCCGGGTGATAGCAGGACTCTGATTAGAATGAAGAGGGGATAGGGCTGTTGTAGAATTCAATACCTATAGCATAGGAGTGCTCAAAC